CAACCCCACAAAAGCAAATCAACCCCCCCAAAAAACTCCTAAACACCGCACCCAAAAAAACCCCCAACAAACCCTACACCAAAAGTATCCCTGAAACCACACAACAAAACCCAAATAAATGAAATACCAAACCCACCAAAATGAAAACTCTTTTGCCCTGGTTGCCTTTCTAACAAATGCTTCATGTTGCTTCTCACTCTTTTCAGTGCACTGTCTTATGTCAAAAACTAGCTTTCTAGGAGCTGGACAAGTTTTTTTTGACATATCTCTAAGCAGGCAATTACAATGGAGCTGTATCTGAATTTCCTACATGCTAAAGGAGCACAAATGGTCCATATTTTCCAATGAGTTCTTTCTATGCTTAATTAAAACTAGCAAAATAATGAACATATTTAAATTCACTACAGAAGTGAAATATATATATGAGTAATGGAATAAAATTTCTGTTCTCTATGTAGCTATTAGCAGTTTTCTGTGCCTTTAATGTTTGCTCCCTCACTTTCACTGCAGGTGGGTGTTGTGTTGTCCTTTCCATCTTTATACTGGGAGGATGCTGTGGACTTGCAGCCTTCATCAGTTAGTTCAGCCTATAATCACCTCTACCTCTTCCATCTGACAACACTGGCACACATAACACAAATCGTCATCTCTTCAGCAACAGGTAGAGCTGCATTTGGGTTGGGTTACTCTGACATTTTTACACAATTTCTTAAAAATAAGGGATGGGGACACCATTAGTGTTTTCCAGGTATAAATTTACACAATTTCTTAAAAATAAGGGATGGACACCATTAGTGCTTTCCAAGTATGAATGTCCTTGTAATTAAATATTTAGTGCTAGGCAGTAATGACTGTTTCTGGTAAAAAATAAAATGCTCTGAAAATGTTGTGGTGCTTTTTATTATATCACTTCTGTGTGCCTAGCATAAGGAAACAACCTGGTTACTGATCTATCAGTACTTGCTCCAGTCAGTCATTCCAGAGTGGAAACTTCTGCCTCTGCACTCCTTGTAGGAGAAGCAAAGCTCTGCCCAGCAGCAGCACTCTGAGCTGCACAGTGACAGTTAACATGGATTTGGGAAATAAACTTTCCTTTCCTCTTCAACCTATTTAATACCCAGAGCCAAAATACAGAATCCTATAAACTGACAGGAGAGAATTTCAACATTTCTCTGTACCTCATACTGTTGTTAAATTATGTGAGTAACCTAGAGGATTCTTAGCTACTACTTTCCTTTTTCTTCAGCATGATGGGAATAATAATAAAAAAAAAAGTCCTGTAGCTTAATCTGTGTAGGACAATAACTTCAGAAGTTCAAGGAAAGGAAGCAATATTTGCATTGGGGATGAGGAGTAATGAGGCAGTAATCCCGATTCTTCTTCATAGCATGCAGTTTTAGGAGAATATCCATGTTAAAGACAGGAAGTAGAAAAAAAATTGAGCAAAATAAACTGGAAATATTTCTCTAATACAATTTAACAAAAGAGAAGTGTCACAAGTAAACTGCATTTACAGTGAAATTCATCTTTTTGTGTGCAGAATCCCCTACGGCTCGGTCATCTGACAGCAGTGAGGAGGCCTGCTCTGCACAGTCTTTCTGCAGAGAGGTTTGCCAGTACACCAGTGGGTAAGTAGCAGTTCAGTTACAGCACTGCTTTTTCCTAGAAGGATGGCAATCCTCAGGGATTGACTCTGAACAACATAGAAAACTGGAAAAATAATTAGCCACTTTGTATGGGGCGCTAGCACAATGTCATGTGCTTTCTTCCTGTACTCCTGAAAAACAGGGAACTGGTGAAAGCAACACTTTTAATTAAAATAGTGCCTTTTTGTGGACAACAGGGTAAATTCTTGTCTAAAGATGAAAAGAAAACCACCCCAAACTCTGCCTCCATTCCAGACAGAAATACAGCCTCTAACTGTAGTAGGTTTTTTCTTTGCCTTGATTTTTTTTTTTTTCAGATCTCTCAATTATAGATGAAACCCAGAAAGAAGGAAATGATTCTACTATAAAAGGGGGAGAAGTGTGAAGTTAAATGCAGTTGCTTATTTTTTTTAGCATTAGTGCCCATCTTTTCAGAGTTTTTTGACAGGAATAGCTACAGACTTTTTAAGTATTTCAGTATGTGTGATATAAACTAGAAAATACGGATGCACTCTCTACAAATTCTGCTCTGATTTATCTCCATCAAGGCTAGTTGCAGAGATGTGTTTCAAAGATTGGCAATGCTACACGTTTGTCTGAAAAATATAAATTCTTAATGTGAAGTGTAGGTATAAACTCAGAACTCATCCGTTAAGCAAAGAGGAAGTCAGGAATTAGTTGCTGGTGGCTGCATATCACAGAACTTGGGGTACACCAGTGTTACTTCTACATAGCTGCCATTCTACCAGTGCTAGCCAAAATTTGAGAGTTCTGAAAGGGTTTGCACTGTGAATTACTGCAGCTGCTTCTCATTTGTGTGTTACAGTTGCTTTAGCCAGGATGTTCCAGGCTCGTTTGTGTGGGATTGTGTTAAAAAAGGCATCCTGCCTTACCTTCGTTGTGCTGCTTTATTTTTTCATTATTTGCTGGGAGTTTCTCCACCTGAGGAACTACTACAAGGTAAATATGAGGAAGCAAATGTATATATTGACTTTGCTTACTGTTTTCTTGGGAGAATGGAATTTTTAAATGTTCACTGTAAGTTAACAGTATTTAATGTATTAACGTAAGACTTGGAGAGAAAAGGAAATGCTGATTTGTATGGGAAGGTGCAGGCATGACCAGCTGAATTGTCTCTCTGCCTTCAATGCCATTTTCTGTAGCAGAGTAAATAAATGACCACCCAGCAAACAATTAAATTAGCCCAGCTTTATATAATGTTTTAGCACTGGCTCAATCACAGCAAAATGTAACATTTTTGCAGGCCAAAAGGATAGTTAAAAGCTAAAATGTCCTAAGTAGAAAAAAATCTACTGCACTGACCTGTGTTATGTATTATACAGTGAAATGGAATTTAAGCCAAAAATTCTGTTATCACAGTGACTTGTGCATGACTTAAAAATTTCTTAATAATACATGTCAAATTTGTTAAACCTGAAGCAGATCCTCAGCTAATGCAAATTGTTATAGCTCTGATTAAGCCTGTGGAATTACATCCAACTGTAGTAGCTGGGGCTGTGCTGGAGCTGTGAGATACATATTCAGTGAAAAAGGGATCAGGAGATTTCTAGTTCTGAGTAAATTACTCAGCAGTGCTGAAGCACTTTAACAGTTGCTCATGTTTTCTTTTTCTTTAGCAGTTTCTGAAGAAGGGCAATTCAAGGCACTTTGTAGTTACCTCTCTCTACCTACCAATTTGTTCCTGCTCTTCCAGGAATACTGGGACACCGTAAATCCACTGCTTCAAAGGTACTAATGGGGACTGGACAGGCCACATTACTCTGTTGTGATGGCTATGTGGGAATTCTGGATCAAAGTTGTTAATAAATGATTGAGCTCAAATTCCTACTAGAGTTCTACACATTTGTTTGATGTGCACAGGTATACTTTCTCTTAAAGCACTTCAGAAAGATAAAACTTTTTATATTTTTTGGAAATTCAAACGTTTATGGTGCCTGCAGACCTACATGAAAATGTTTGCGCAGAAAGAAGTTGTCGTAAACCTTTGCTTGCATGGTATGCTGCTTTCTGTTTATTGGCCTGTCTTTAATTTTTCCACAGCAAAAGTGCTGATCACATGAGCTATAAAATAAGAATATGGAAAATTATGTAACTGGCAGATTGAGGCTTTGTACTATTTTTTCTCTGGATTTCCATAGTAGACTGATAAATGTCAGCGTTAGCTTAATGGTTAAAAGGTACCGTTTGAGTATTATTTTGTTTTTACACACCTTGGTTCTCTTATGTTACTTGTATTCCTTCAATTCAGGGACATTTTGAGCTGTTGACTGCAACTTAAAGACCCTGTAGCTGACCAAAACAATTCCCTATGTACAATTTTACTACAATCAAATGGCATTTGAAGTATATTTAATTACTTATTAATGAATATATATTAATAATCAACCTAGTCGAGTTGAGAGGTGTCTCTGCCCATGGCAGAAAAGTTGGATTAAATGATCTCTAGGGTCCCTTCCAACCTAAGCCATTTTATGAATAGCATTGTCACAAGTAAACTATTAAATGAGCTTGTCTTGTGCATGCCTATGGACTTGCTCAAAGGCATAATGGTGCTTGTAAGAGAACAGAGAGGGTGAGTGCTTGTTAACATTAGAAAATGATCACTGGAGGCTGGGCTAACAAACCCATCCTGGTGCTCCCAGTCAAAAACAGAGGTAGCAAGTGGGAAGCCATGTATTTAATGTAATAGTAACAGTTGTCAAATCATCATGCAAGTTCCCATATGTTTTCTGAAAGAATCTTATTTCAGAAGACTGAAACTGATGATTGTTGAGAAATGTGTTAAATGAAGCTTACTGTATTGACCATCTGCTACAGTGCTCTCTCCCTTCTCTGCTTTGTAGAAATAACTTAAAAGATACCTCAGACATAGCAGTTGCTCTGTCCAGTAATTTGCCAATATCTACTGTTGTTTGGTTAGATGCATTTGCCAATCTGAACAAGCATGCAACATGCAGTAAGGCATTGTAAAATAACCTTTGGGTGATGGGTATTAAATAAAAGCAACAAATATTTTCCTAGTAGAGTGTATGACACTTTCTTGTGCCAAGCTTTCAGCAGATCTGTTCCAGGAGGAGCTGTGTATTGTAGCCCACTTGGAGAACTTGAATATGTCTGAAGACCTCTGTTAACACTGTTCTCATGTGCATGTCAATAATTTCAAGTGTTGTTTTTCACTTGTTTTTCTCTTGTATACACCCTTAAGTTATTTTCCTGAAACAAAACTGTAAAGAGTAGCTGTTCCTCCTTGTGCAGTTTGAGCCAGAACAGTCAATGCTTTTATCTGTGCTCTCTGCTTATTGCTTACTCCTTAGTTTAGTTTGGTGATGCTAAATGTGTATTATTGTCAAACACTGTCATGGCAAATGTTTGTTTGAAATAGGTGGTGTGCTGACCCGATGGTGTTAAGTTGTTTGAAGGGGAAAAGCATTGCAGTAAGGTAAGGTTGGTTTAGTTATTTTTTTTTTTTTCCACTTGTTTTTGACTTAGAACTCTTGAAAGAACAAAATGCTTTTTGTGATAGAGTGCTTGTATTTAATTCTTGCTACTCTAGTAGCAGAAGTAGACTTCTCTTTAAATGGTTGTGTATTATTCTTCTTGCAGTGACTCTTTACTGAGAAGGGACAACGTTGTTAGCCAAGTTACCTAGCTTACTCAAGGGGAAGGAACAAAAGCTAACTGAAATATGAAATGGCTTTGTACATGTAGGTTACAGATGAAATTTTATTTCCTCATCTTTGCTGGAATGTAGAAATGCTGAAGTTCCCATGTGGAGCCTCTCACTTGGGTTTTTGGGACTGATGAGCTGCGGAATTTTGGAGAAGGGACTGAAAGCACAGCAGGCATTGATAGCTATCCATTCTGTTCTTTGCCGTGGTCCTTATCCTCAGAATAGTTCTTTCTCATTTACACAGGTATCCTAGGAAAAGAAATAGTTTAATAGAGCTTCCTGAAGACTATAGCTGCCTTCTGAACCAAGCTTCTCAGTTTAGGTAAGATGTGGCATGTTTAATTGTGTTCCTAAGGGTTTTGTCACTTTTTATATTCTTGCAGTTACTGTAAGTGATATTAAAACTGTATACAGAATTTATTTTGCAGAAATGAAGGCACTGTTATGGTTACACTGGCCAATACTAGCACATGTCCCTTTTAAATCTGAAATATGACAGCTTACTAAATGAAGGCACTTGTATTTGGTAGGATAGCTAAATTATAGCTAAATCTGCTGGTCACTTTTCACCAGTGCAATGTGCATGCATTTGGTTTGGCCATAAGCCTGAAAATTATTTTTGCTCTGGACATGACAAGCCCAGAAGGTAGGTGCTGTTTTATGCCAGGAAGAGTGAATCATCAGGTAATTTAGTTTAGTAGAAGGGGCTTCAGCAGCTCATCTAGTGCAATCTCCTGCCCAAAGCTGCTAGCTTGCAGACATATTTCAATGTACAAACACAGCTAAAGAAGGTAGCTATGTGAAATTTGATTATGACATAGTATGTCTTAGGTTTGTTTGCTTACACGTTAGGGGTTTTCAAGTGTTTTTTTGTTCTTTTTTCTTTTAAAAGTTTAAATTCCTGCAGTAATGTTCTGGTTATACTTCTTCTAGGTGTCCACGGTCTTCTGATGATGAGCAAAAACATCCAGTATTGTGTTTATTCTGTGGGGCTATGTTGTGTTCCCAGAATACTTGCTGTCAGGAACTGGTGAATGGGGAGGAGCTGGGAGCCTGTACTTCTCACGCTCTTCAGTGTGGAGCTGGAGTCTGTATGTTTCTCAAGTAAGTAGCTGGCCAGTATTTAATGTGTTACAGAGTAAAGGGAAACACTTGAAGCTCAAAATTCACAACATTGTCAAAGCAACTTGATTCTTTTTATCTGAGATGAGGAAACATTGCTTTAACCTAAGATACACCTCACCAAAAAGTTAAGTGTGCTGGGAGTTGTCTTGTGTTTTAAACATAGCTATTTTTTCCTTAAGAATCAGGGAATGCAAAGTTGTCCTCATTGAAGGTAAAACCAGGGGCTGCTTATATCCTGCTCCCTACTTGGATGAATATGGAGAAACAGATCCAGGACTTAAGTAAGTAGATATTTTAATTTCTTTCTTTTTACATTTTCCATTGTGGTATCTGTTTCTTACTCCCATTAGACAACGTGTTCTTTCTGCTAACATGTACAACACTGTAATGTGTCTTGGCCTGGGGAACTTGTTTAACTTCAAATTCCTGGTGGCAGTTTCCAGTCATTAATGAGTCATTTATAATGAAAAAAAAAACAAACAAACCCAATACCACAACACTCTTTTGGTACTGTTTTACTTTCTTACTTGTCTCAAGAATACTTTGTATGCTCTTCATCAGAAATGTGCAATGACTCCCAGGCATCATCTTGGCAGTGACAGTCATTGCTTGTCACATGTAGAATTGTTTTCAACTCCAGCAGACCCATTGGAATTGGTGTTCATACAAGTATTTAATATCATCTGGCCATTGTAAAGAGTGTTAATGCTAGACTGTTAATGGAAGAGGTTGTCTGTTCTGCTATGCTTATTGGGTGTTCTCCTTTTCTCTTCCATGAAGAAGAGGCAATCCCCTCCACTTGTGTCGGGAGCGTTACCGGAAGCTCCATCTGCTGTGGCAGCAACACTGCATCATAGAGGAGATTGCCAGGAGCCAAGAAACAAATCAGATCTTCTTTGGATTCAACTGGCAACTGCTCTGAGTCTTTCAATTTTTAGGGAAAACTTTTACCTTTGGCAATGCTTTGGAAAAGGAAAGGAGGATGGCAGTAAATAATCTACGCTGAATCGGATGCTGTAGTTCAGACATGATTGGTGGATTCTCTAGGTTGGGTGTATTACTGATAACACTGAAAGAGAATCTCATGTCATATGTTTTGCTATACTTTTTTTCTTTTCCCAAAAAGGAAAACTACATTATATAATTAATGGTAAACATTCAGATCCAGAATTATTTCCACGTTTTTGAGAAGTTGCAATTGTCTCATGTGTTTTGATGAGGACAGCTACTCAAATGCTGTGCTTTAGAGCACATACCACATTTCAGTCTCTTCCACACCTTGGGAATATACCTAAATGTTGTCACTATGGAAAAGCCTCCTTTACTTTCTTCCTGGGTTCTTTTTCCAAGCTTAGTGAAACTTTTAAATAGGTCAAGATCTGTGGCATAATACTGGAGTGGAAGTGGTGCCAGGCTTGTAGCAATCCATAGCAACAGGTACAGCAAATATGAAGTTGTAAGGATCAAGCCTGCATTCAGCTATATCTTGGGATTTAATGAAGAGTTTTCATTAATGAACTTTTTAAAGGAGAAGTGAGGAATAGAAAGTGCATGGGGGGAATTACCATCTTGCTTGTAGCATCAAAAAAAAAAAAAGTCTGTGCTTTTGCATTGTCAGAACTGCACTTTATTTCATGAATTTGTCATCTGTTAACACTGTATATCCTAAGAGATCTAGGATACACCATTTGCCCAGCTTGTGGTTAATTTTACTTTTTTTTTACAGTTTGTCTTCTGAGATTTTCCCTGAGAGCCAAACATGAAAATACTGTTAGGTTGTTGTAGGGTAGCTCTGCAAGTTGTACAAGAGCCAGAGTTTTTGGTAGAGTAGAAGCCCTTTGAAATTGTCACTGGACTAAAATCAAGGCCCAAAAGCAGCAAGTTTTAGAATGAGAAATGTTTGTTTGCCCAGATTTGAGGAATTCTCTATTCTTCATCCTCTGTCGCTATTGTTTGGAGCCCTGCCTGCATACATGAAATAGTGTATTTTGGGGGTGTGTTCAGTGGTTCCGTGTCAGAGCAGAAAAGGGGGGGAAAAAAGTGGCTGAGTCTGTCTCTCCACCCCTCAGTAGTTAATAGCACATTGTGATTGAACTCTCTCTCAATGATATGTGCTTGTGCCTCAGTTCTAAATGTTTGTTCTGTTTGCTGAATTTCAACGTGGGAGAATTTGTTATGTAATGAGTAAAACTGCTTTCCCAGGAAATCCCGTTTCTGTGTGAAAGTTTGAAGTTGTCAGTACTCCAAATTTCCCTGTTCCTTTGCTATTTGGATTCTTTTGTGTCTTTTGGATAAGGCTTCCAAGGGGAGGTTTTCAAATCAATGTCCGAGAGCGTGTTTTTGTATGTTTATCTTGTTGGATTTTTTTGTTGGTTTTTTTGCTACTGATTGTATGAGAGATAGTAGAATCACAAATAATGATTTAGCTTTAAATATCCTTGTTCTTCTAGTCTTTTAAAAGTTTTTAGAGTATGTATGAGTGCACTGAACAGCACCATAACTCATCTAAAAATGAAATACCAGTGGACTCAAATATTGTTTTGATTTCAAGTACTTTTTAATAACTTTTGCTATATAAGTAGTTGGCGTTTTCAAGTTCTGTTTCTTGCAATTAAGACCATTCTCCTTATTCTGATTCTTTCAGATTTTAAACCTGAATATGAAAGTCTTTAAAGACAAACATTAATTCTGTTAGTATGCATTTCAAATACATTTTAGACAAGACTGAACTTAGAACAGTTGTCACGAAAGCTTGCATGCACTGGCAGTTGTGTGGTCATCAAAACACTTCTTACCAACAAAAATCTTGTATTAAGACTAGCAAATGTATGCCTCATTGGTACCAAAACTATATTCACTGTTTCCCTCTGGTATTTACCTCTTCATTTATCAAAAACTTTCAGTTACCTTGCACTTCACTGATACAAAAATTCTGTTATCAAATAGGCAGTGAGATCATTTTATTTTGTTTTCTGTCTGAACTGTAGTATGTAAGGACAGGAGCTGGTCTGAGCAGGTGAGCTCACATTTAAAGCTCTAGAAAACTCTAGCTGAAGAAGAGGGAGAAGAAAGTTGCATTTTTCTACACGTTTGCACATACTGATTTAGCAAATGGGCTCCCATATCATTCACTGAGTAGTGTGGTCATCTTTCATTTCATAAATTACTATGCAGTTTTGTTCACTGTGAGTATAATCTGTATTTAGTGATTGCAAGATGCTTGTGCCACTGATTCCAGTTCCATCCAAGCTGACAGAAGAAGTTATTTGATAATGCACATATTGGTATCTTTAATTGCAAAAATGTAAATTTGAAACTTGTATAATGTTCTTGTGCTTTTGAAATAAGATATCTTGTATATGTATATTTAAAAAAAAAGAAATAAAGTAACTTCTCATAGATTATTCAGTTTTTATTTGGAGGCGCTTTGACACTTGACAGTTCATTTTACAAGAGCTTTAGGGCAGCATCTGTCAGTATGGAAAAGGGGAAGAGTTAGGAAAGAGTTGGAAAACAGGACCAGTGTTCCCAGTAGTCCGTATCATCATTGTACTGGTCAGTAATGGTGGCACACTACTTCCTATTTTAAGAAATACTCCACTTGAAGTATTTTACAGATGCCAGTTCCTGCAGTGTCTACCTCAATTTGTAAAAGAAGTCTTAAGTACAGCATTTAATATGTAGATGTTCTTAAACTGATTAGTTGAGTGATTCTGGTTTTGTGGTTTCTCAAAGAAGAACTGGCTGTACTGTCTGTCAGGCACTTCACCTCTGCAAAGGGAAAATTCCTGGTGTTGGTCTTGTGCTATGTGGTACATTTTTTACCCAAAAAAAGCTAACAGCCAAGAAATCTTTTACATGGAAATGGCCAGTACTTCTTGGCCCTTTTTATGGTACAAGCTTCTGGCTGTCATTTTCTCACTCCTTTGTTGTAGCTTTGGCACCATTAAGCTTACAGAGTTTGGGTGTTAATGATGTTGCTCTCTATGCATATCCTTAGGAAAGCAAATGTTTTATAAGAAAAGATCCCTGAAAAGGTAAAAGTTAAAGGTAGGTAGATTAAAGTCTAATAGGAAAAATGTTCTGAAGAACATTAGAATAAGAAGCCCATTCATGATGCCGGGGGCTGGGGGAGGAAAGCCCCAGCACCATATCTTGTGTAGTAGGAATCTCAAGGTGCAATGTACAAAATTCCACAGAGGAGGATTTTGACCATCATATGCTTTGCTTTACAGTTGAAATCCACTCTGTTTTCTGGACAAGATCCTTGAGTAATCTTCATTGGGAACTGGTCAGATTTGTGATAAAACACCTAAGTTTGTTAGATTCTTTTAACCTATTACTTGACAAGACCTTCAAAGATACTTTCTCCAGAAATGGAAGTTGCTGAATTTCTGTGGAACAATTATTTGTTTTTATCTGTTTTGCAGGTAGGCTAGATTTGGGGGTTGATACAGAAAACAAATGGTTTGAGAGACTTGCATAGGAGTGGATTTTCATTATTATTGCAGTTGTGTGTGTTTTTTTTTTCCTAGTTACATGTCTCTAACCTTGTATTCAGCATGGTTGACAGCATACAAAAGAGGAGCTATGTCAAAGAAATGTGCTTTGAAGGGGAGCAAGCTGGAATTAAAATGATTACATGTGTTATTTCATGTAATGGTGAGTAATAGGAGACCAGGTATAAAGTTAAACAGAAAATATTAAAATCAGACCTGAGTTTTCTTTTTATTTCTGTGTTATTATTGTTCATGGTATCAGTGTCCATGAAAAGGAGGAGTATAGATTGTGCTGTTGAGTTACAGGTTGTCAAACAACTTAGAATCCACCAGATTTCATTTGAGGAGGTTTCTGGGCTTCATGTGAGCACATGTGCCTCAATAAAATGCTGTGAAGCAGGTAGTGAGGACTGGATTTCGTGGTCATCTCAAGTCCTTGCTATATCTGTGGTTATTTTGTGTTTTGGTTTTTTTTTTTTTTTTCAGCAGACTGCAGAACTTTGTCTCCTCCCTTTCAATACTGCCTGAAATGTAATATTAGCCTCTTGGGCTACAAGTAGTGAAGTACAGTCTAGTCCTTGGAGCGAGGTCATCCCAATGGACCAGCGTTCCTGCTTGAAGGTTCTCCTAAATGAACCGTGGAGCCTGAGCAATAGTGCACTCTAGGTGATAAAAAGCCTCCAATCTTCTCCCATCCCATTTTCCTTTCTGTGAATCATGCTGACCTTTACTAGAAGTGGCAAACCCGATGTATCAGTCTCATGAGACTGCAGGTGATCTAGGAATATTTATTTTTCCAATTCAGACAAATTAATTGAGCAATTCCATTTACATACTCCAGGCAGTCTGCCCCAGTTGATTGACATACAGGAGCAGGACAAGATGATGCATTAAGTGGTGGTCTCATAAATGAGCTCTCCACCTTTTGTTCCATGAGCTGTGCACCTTGTTGGATCTTTGGTGAACTGGAGAGTACCAAATGCAGCACCTAAAGGTCTCTTGTTGGAGGAGACTGATAAAAACCACGTGTACCAAATAGTTTGTAAGATTTTAAATATTGTGAATTTTGTGTTGTAGAGAACTGTAGGATTGTGTGCAATGTAAGAAAAATCATTTTGCAGAAGGAAGGTTTCTAGCTCTGAAGGAAACTTGCTGTATTCATTTTTTTTTTTTAAATATAAATGAAACTTTAAATGTGCTGTATTTCTTTTTTTTTTTTCCCTTTGTGATCAGTGTAGGATAAGTGTTCTGAGTGGTAATCAGAAAGGTTTAAATGAAGATCATCATAATTGCAGTTTCTACCAGACTCTCATAGTGCCTTCACAAAAAAAAGAATATCAAAATATTTGTTTGTTTTTTTTACAAAGAACTTCATAAAGAAGATGGTTTTATGCATAGGTGAGTTCCTCACTCTGGAAGCTGC